GCTAATGGTTACACAAGCCAACAAATCATTATGACATCATAAAGTGGCCAAAATCTGATCAGCTCATTTTCAGACAGGTTATTATATAAATGGATCAAAAGAGAGAGAATCTTTGTTCCTGAAACTTTCAGAATCTCTTTCCACAGAGGGGACACATGTTGATGTAGAAGAGACATGAAGAAGAGGGGACACATGTTGATGTAGAAGAGACATGAAGAAGAGGGGACACATGTTGATGTAGAAGAGACGTGAAGAAGAGGGACACATGTTGATGTAGAAGAGACGTGAAGAAGAGGGGACACATGTTTGATGTAGAAGAGACATGAAGAAGAGGGGACACATGTTGATGTAGAAGAGACATGAAGAAGAGGGGACACATGTTGATGTAGAAGAGACATGAAGAAGAGGGGACACATGTTTGATGTAGAAGAGACATGAAGAAGAGGGACACATGTTGATGTAGAAGAGACATGAAGAAGAGAAGAGGGGACACATGTTGATGTAGAAGAGACGTGAAGAAGAGGGGACACATGTTGATGTAGAAGAGACATGAAGAAGAGGGGACACCATGTTGATGTAGAAGAGACATGAAAGAAGAGGGGACACATGTTGATGTAGAAGAGACATGAAGAAGAGGGGACACATGTTGATGTAGAAGAGACATGAAAGAAGAGGGGACACATGTTGATGTAGAAGAGACATGAGAAGAGGGGACACATGTTGATGTAGAAGAGACATGAAGAGACATGAAGAAGAGGGGACACATGTTGATGTAGAAGAGACATGAAGAAGAGGGGACACATGTTGATGTAGAAGAGACATGAAGAAGAGGGGACACATGTTGATGTAGAAGAGACATGAAGAAGAGGGGACACATGTTGATGTAGAAGAGACATGAGAAGAGGGGACACATGTTGATGTAGAAGAGACATGAAGAAGAGGGGACACATGTTGATGTAGAAGAGACATGAAGAAGAGGGGACACATGTTGATGTAGAAGAGACATGAAGAAGAGGGGACACATGTTGATGTAGAAGAGACATGAAGAAGAGGGGACACATGTTGATGTAGAAGAGACATGAAGAAGAGGGGGACACATGTTGATGTAGAAGAGACATGAAGAAGAGGGGACACATGTTGATGTAGAAGAGACATGAAGAAGAGGGGGACACATGTTGATGTAGAAGAGACATGAAGAAGAGGGGACACATGTTGATGTAGAAGAGACCTGAAGAAGAGGGGACCACATGTTATGTAGAAGAGACATGAAGAAGAGGGGACACATGTTGATGTAGAAGAGACATGAAGAAGAGGGGACACATGTTGATGTAGAAGAGACATGAGAAGAGGGGACACATGTTGATGTAGAAGAACATGAAGAAGAGGGGGACCACATGTTGATGTAGAAGAGACATGAAGAAGAGGGGGACAATGCTGATGATAGAAGAAGAGACATGAAGAAGAGGGGACCACATGTTGATGTAGAAGAGACATGAAAGAAGAGGGGACACATGTTGATGTAGAAGAGACATGAGAGAAGAGGGGGACACATGCTGATGAAGACGAGACATGAAGAAGAGGGGACACAATGTTGATGTAGAAGAGACATGAAAGAAGATGGGGACACATGTTGGATGTAGAAGAGACATGAAGAAGAGGGGACACATGTTGATGTAGAGAGACATTGAAGAAGAGGGACACATGTTGATGTAGAGAAGAGACATGGAGAAGAGGGGGACACATGTTGATGTAGAAGAGACATGAAGAAGAGGGGAGGGGACACATGTTGATGTAGAAGAGACATGGAGAAGAGGGGACACATGTTGATGTAGAAGAGACATGAAGAAGAGGGGACACATGTTGATGTAGAAGAGACATGGAGAAGAGGGGACACATGTTGATGTAGAAGAGACATGAAGAAGAGGGGACACATGTTGATGTAGAAGAGACATGAAGAAGAGGGGACACATGTTGATGTAGAAGAGACATGAAAAAGAGGGGACACATGTTGATGTAGAAGAGACATGAAGAAGAGGGGACACATGTTGATGTAGAAGAGACATGGAGAAGAGGGGACACATGTTGATGTAGAAGATACATGAAGAAGAGGGGACACATGTTGATGTAGAAGAGACATGAAGAAGAGGGGACACATGTTGATGTAGAAGAGACATGAAGAAGAGGGGACACATGTTGATGTAGAAGAGACATGAAGAAGAGGGGACACATGCTGATGAAGAAGAGACATGAAGAAGAGGGGACACATGTTGATGTAGAAGAGACATGAAGAAGAGGGGACACATGTTGATGTAGAAGAGACATGAAGAAGAGGGGACACGTGTTGATGTAGAAAAGACATGAAAACGTGCACTTTGTATAATAGGTGACCTTTAATGTACAGGTGTTCCTTAGTACTTGTAATTTCTGCACGTTTTCATTCAGTTTCCTTCCACAGACTGTTAAACACCTGAACTTTTTAAAGAACATCCTTAAACATTCATCTGTTTGCATCTTGCAAATTATTTATCTAATATATCACATTCCATTTACTTGTATATAGACTCTTCTTGCACTATTACTATTTATTTGTATTTACTTGCACATCTCAAAACATTCTCTTGCACTATTTTATTTGTTCTATGTCCTATATATATATCTATCCACGTTGCACTGTTGGAGGAGCCTGTGACTGACGTTTGCCATTACCATATCTACACTGTAGCTAATGTGCACACGACAATAAAGCCTTGAATCTTGACATTTGCCAGGGAAAGGACGGACATCAAGACATTGCAACTCAAATGGCTAAAGTCCTAATGAAGTCACAAATTACTGGTGTTGAAGTCAAAGTAAAAAAAGGCATTTGTGATTTCGTGTAGCGATTTCAGGCTAGGTTTAAGTACGACTTAGTCAAAATAAACAAGTGTGTGTGTTCATGGTAATAAAGGACCATGTCACCCTGTGCAACTGAGTCTTACTGATGTGTTTTTAATGGTTTTTGGACAACAATGGAGCTGTATGGCACAGAAAAACGATACATCGGGCTATTATGTTAGCAGATACATTCATTGTTGATTTGAGTTTTGTTTACAACTAGAAACATACAACATATCATGAGTCTCATCCTTTAAAAGGAAGGTGCTATAATGATCTAAAGAAGAAAAGCCTTTTTATAGACACGGGGAGAAAGAGAGATGACACGGCGAGGCGGCAGAGAGATGGAGCTTCACTAATATATGGAGTGAAGAGATTAGCGGGCAGCTTATAATGTCAAGGCCCATTCAATGGGAGCCATTCACCGGACGACGGCATAATGGACTCCCACAATGCAACAGGAATTAGACACTAACCCTAACAGCTGGCCACAAGCTCCTCTGAGTGTGTGTGAGAGAGATAGAGAGAGGGGGGGGGCGAGCAAGGCAGCTTGTTAAGGAACGACTCAGGGGAGAGAGAGAGTGTGTGATGGGCGGCCGAGCTGCACAATTCATCTCCTGTGATCACAGCCTCAGCACCTGTAATTAATACTGGTAATATATTGGCAATATATCAGCAATACTGAAATGTTTAATTTCATTTAGAGAGGTGGCTGTAATTGGAAACAGTCACAGTGTTGATATAGGGCAGCAGGAGAGCAGGGAGCTAATTGTACTGAGAAGCACCGAGGGTAATAACCAACATTAAGAACGTGTAATGAAATAATCTGGATTAGCATTACATTTGTAGGAGACGGACACACATGCACAGACACACACATGCACAGACACACACATGCACAGACACACACATGCACAGACACACATGCACACACATGCACAGACACACACATGCACGCACACTAAGACTATAGAGAGAGGTGTTTTTATACACACATTTAGACATATACTCTATGTAGATTGTAGAGTATCGATTAATAGCTAGGCTATAATTGTGCCTTAAAGAAGACACATATACAAAATTGTAAACTAAATAAAATATAAAACTATAAAATTAGGAGTTTCCCAGTCAAGAAACAATTAACTGGATTATAAAATAAAAAACAACTACTGAATTGTGTAGTTGACAAGAAACACACACACACACACACACACACACACACACACACACACACACACACACACACACACACACACACACACACACACACACACACACACACACACACACACACACACACACACACACACACACACACACACACACACACACACACACACACACACACACACACACACACACACACACACACACACACACACACACTGCATTCACAGCCAGTATCACACTGACATTATCCAGTCAATACTGAGTCACACACATACACACAGTGGAGATTGGATGTATTGATTTTTTTTATGCAGGGAGGAGGACTAGCCTCGATCACATGACGAGAGTCACTGCTGCAAGAAACCCAGACAGTGTGTGACTGACTGACTGTTTTACGCAACCAGTTACAGGGTTACTGGATGGTTCAGACATACTGCCTGTTCTGCAGCACCTCTTTTCACCCTCTGTCTAAAACCATAGTGCATAGACCTTTGATCAGAGCGTCCTTAGCAGTGGTCTGATATAAAAAAAATAATGTTTAAATCGACCAATCAGAATTGTGTATTCAACTAACCTGTGTTATAATACAAAAGAAATCAACCAAAAACCTGTTCAATCAGTTTGTTCACATGATGAACTAATGATTAGTTCCAACAATCACTCGGCACTGTTTCTAAACTAAATGTTGATTTGGTTTAGGATCTGTCTGTCCACTAATGTTTGTTTTACACAGAACATTGTACTGTATGCAACTCACACACACCCTACAGACATATCTATACTCATTTAACCTGACTGACCCAGCTCAAGTGTCAGCCTTAATGAGATCAACTCCTCATGTTGGCCACACACACACACACACACACACACACACACACACACACACACACACACACACACACACACACACACACACACACACACACACACACACACACACACACACACACACACACACACACACACACACACCCACACACACACACACACACACACACACACACACACACACACACACACACACACACACACACACACACACACACACACACACACACACACACACACACACACACACACACACACACACACAAAATGGTGCTTTTACTTAACGACAACCTCACAATGACTGCAAAGTCTGTCTGTCATAACCTTTGACCTCCTCTCTGCTGGTTGTGATGCTGATGGCTGAGACGAACCTCACACACACATGTACTTAGTTCAAGAGGGCCAGAACTCATCTCTAGGTGACTATCAGTCAATACCTGTTTCTCTGACATTCACTGCCAGCGTATAAACTTCTGTCTGTATCTGTTGTTATTTTGTTTTACTTGCTTGTAAGCGCTTTGAGCACCAGGAAAAGCGTTTTTTTAAATGTAATGTATTATTATTATCTCAGTAAGGAAAAGGGAACTGCTTGAAATCTAAAAGGCGTGTTTACATCGTAACGTTTTTTGTTTTTTTAAAGCGATTATGTACATAGTAAATGCAAAGATACAAATACAAGCGGATTGGCGGCAAACACACACATAACGCGTGGCATGAGTTGAATTGACCTGGAAGCCTATGAGGGGTAACCATCCCAATGAATTGACCGATAATCAATAATAAAGGAACGTTTAATTTTTACTATATATATATATAAATATGCAATATCTTACATATTTATTTTTCACCAACAATCCATTTCTGTCCATATTTTCTTTGAGATACTTGGCATTTGTTATGGGGAGCTTTCATATTGATAAGTATGCTTTTATATTGTTACTCCTAGCACCAACACTGCTAAGGTATGTGGTTTCTTTTTGGATTAGCTGCTCTGAATTTAACGAATGAGCAGTCCCATTGGCTGTTAAGGGCAAAGGTTGCCAACAATAAAAAAAGAACACTCCAGCAGCCGTATTCCCGCCGGTAAATCGAGGCAGAAATCCGCTTTATGTTTGGTCTGAACGAAAAGGGTTTGACCTTTGAGAAACAGGAAATTGCTTCACAAGCTGACCACTGGTTTTTCTAGAAAGAGATCCTGAAGCCACATGCACACAGACCGAGGACTCGCATGTCAGAGGAACGCAGACATCGTTACATCATCATAATGTCCTGCAATCTGGTTACAGACTGGCCTCCATAACTCAGTGTGTCGGCTCTGTAATGCCTGAGTGTTTCTGTGTGTGTGTGTGTGTGTGTGTGTGTATGTGTTTGTGTGTCTGCGTTTATATATTTATCCATATTTTTATGTGCAGTGTGTATTCATATATTTAGGTATCTCGTACAGCTACATTGGAACTTTGCTATGATGTGAGCTGTATTGAGCTATATTAAATACATGTCTTAAAGCTCTCTGTGCTCTAGGCATTAACACCATGTAACCATTCTGAGTCCAAGCGAGTCAAGACAGGTCCCAAAGAAGCAAGTTAAAGAATAATCCAAACTTAATTGAGATAGAAATCTTTAGTCATGGCGACGCTAATTTAAAGACAAGTTTCAAGTGCTTTTTCTCAATCTGTTTTACATCTACATTTGGAATTTGGTTTTGGTGTAATGTTATGACAGATAGCTCATCCCGCAGCATCCCGTATTGACAAAAGCAGTCTGAAAGCGAATGCTCTACACGCATTATAACAACTATCATATGTATGCTGATGACACTATTGTATATTCATGTGCTCCTTCTCTGGAGATGTTTCCAATCTAAAATCTGATGTTATCACGCTGCAGCAAGCGCTTCTTGATTCCAAACTGCTTTTGAACAGTAAGAAAACCAAAGCAATGCTTTTTGCTCCCAAGTCAGCGTCCTCTTGCCTCTCCATTGACACCCTTGATGGCGTCTCTGTTGAGTTTGTCGATACCTACAAATATCTTGGCTTTTGGTTGGACAGTAATCTGAACTTTAAACACCACATTGAAGTTCTATCAAAGAAATTGAAATTCACTCTTTGCTTCCTTTTCAGACTTAAATGTTGTTTTTCAACTTCATCCCGTAAAAGGTTGGTCTCTGGCTTATTCCGGTCCCAGCTGGACTACGGTGATACCATCTATAGATTTGCCTGTCCCACTGTTTTGGCCAAACTTGACCCACTCTACCATGCTGCACTGCGTTATATATCAAATGCACCCTATAGGACTCATCATTGCACACTGTGTAGCCTAACTGGATGGTCCTCACTTACTATGCGTAGGATGCAGCATTGGTTTTTATTAGGGGTGCACCGAATGGGAAATTCTTGGCCGAAACCGATACCGAAAATAGGAAACAGTTGGCCGAAAACCGAAAGGCCGAAAATGATTAATAGAAATATATATATATATAATGTATACATTTTTTACCAATGTTGTTCAGCTACCTGATTATGGAAATAGACATGATTATGGCAAAACTTAACTTAAATAATAATCACTATTATGGGTCCATAAAACATTTATTCAGCACTTTTGAATGCATACAGTACATTTATATATGTCATGTATTATTGCTAAAAAACATTATATCGCAGTCTTAGTGTCGCCAACTCGTTTCTAATATGCAAAGACAACAAATTCGTCTATGATGTATTTTCGATCAGACGAGATCTCTCTCCCCGTCTGTGTGCGAGGGGGCGGGGCAGTTTACACACACGCAGCTGCTACATGCAGCGGAGCACACTGCGGAGATGGCGGAGAGAACGCGCTCCGAGGTGTGGTTAAACTTTACCTGTCTCGATGTGGAGAATACTTGTTACCATAAGTGCAATAAGAGTTTAGCATGTAAGCACGAGCAATTTGTCTAAACATTTATCAAAAGTGCACCGCATGCAGACGGAGGAATGTACCGGGTTCGACCGTCTTTCTAGCAGCTCTGTAGCCCCATCCACGAGTAACGTTTCCACGTCAGGTGTTCTGTATGCTAGCAGCAACACACGGAGTTAACTACATGATACAAACATGGGTTAATGATTAGAGGAAACAGAGTTATTTAGTTTGTTAAAATTTCAGCTATTCTGTTTACAGTCTGTCATCAGATTATTTAATACGATTTGTTAAAGGCTCAGGGCAATCTCGATGACAAAGGTCAATGTTCCCCCCCCCCCCCCCCCCCTGTGAGCCAGCCGCGAGCATGGTCGCCGCGTCTTTATTACGTCATCACAACAACACGTTAGGTTACCAACGTAAGCCTGTTCTGACATTCGGTGATATTTTTTCGGTGCTAAAACCCTTTCGGCCTTTTTAACCATTTTCGGCCGATAATTTTCGGTGGCCGAATATTCGGTGCATCCCTAGTTTTTATTAATGTATAAAGCCATTTTAGGAAAGCTTCCACTGTACATATGTGCCAGATTTGCTCCAGTTTGTGACTCTTACAACCTCAGATCCAGTGCCTGGATACGGGTCCAGGTTCCTGCTGTGCGGACTGAGGCTGGGAAAAGGAGTCTTTTTCATTATGGTCCTTGGTCTTGGAATGACCTTCAATCACACCTCAAACTGAGGGCACTTGTCTCTATAGCATGTTTTAAATTGAAGTTGTCTGAGGTCCTTACCACCAGCTGCTCTTGCACTAATAAGTAGTGCACCGTTCTTACTGTCCTAATGTGCACAATGTAGTGACTGCTTTTCGCCTTTTGTTTACTTAGTTGTGTTCTCTGTATTTGATGTGTCTGTGTTATGTGTAATAATGAGTAACGTTGCTGCCTTCTTGGCCAGGTCAGCATTGTAAATGAGATTTGATCTCAGTGCTTTTTATCTGGTTAAATAAAGGTTAAATAAAAATAAAAATAAAATTGAAAGATTAGTCTCATTCGAGTAGGAAAACTTTGCAACATGTTTAGAAAGATTCAACCTGTTAAGCAGTATTTACAGTGTTACTCTACGTATGTTTCTATAAAGTGAAGATGTGTTTACCTGCTTTTGACACATGTTCTGATAGAATAACTATGCTGTTGAAAAAACCCAATAAACAAAGTACAAAAAAAAGATTCCACCTTTCTTTGACTACAAAATTGTTATTTAAAATATGAATTCCGCAGGTCCTCTTTCGGTTTCCTTATATATTTAAGTATAGTGTTTTAAAAAATGTTAGATACATATAGTTTTGTCATTAATCTGCGGTGGACTCACTTGGTCAGCTGCTTGTCGGCGTCAGCACAGAGCTCCAGGAGCCCCATGAGCACCGCCGACACGTCCATATAAGGCTCCCACACGGTGAAGCCTCGGCCAATCAGATCGATGGCGGTGCGGCGGATGGTGCTGTGGGGGGGCAGCTTGGGGCTGGGGGGCTGCAGCAGCAGGAAGGTCAGCGCCTTACCTGCAAACGGTACAAACAGGAAGGTGAGAATCATGTCGAGAAGCAATCGAAAGAACACTCAAAACACTGAAGTTCCATCAGCTATCGTGACAGAAAATCATTTTAACATATTGTAGTTAAATATATGACCATATTAGCCCTGGTGTAAATACAGCTACAGCAATTGAACAACTAATCAATGAGCTGATCAATATAACTGTTTTTCATACTCGATTAATGTTATATGATAATATTGAATGCAAAAATGGCTGATTTCGGCATCTCAAATATGGATATTTCCTGTTTTCTCTGTCACTTTTAAATCTTATAAAAGCAAATATCTTTGGGTTTTGAAAAAAAAAAAGTAAGATGTCCGCTTGGACTTTGAGCAAGAAAGTCAGACATTTTGCCACTGTTTTATGACATTTAAGGGCACCACACACACACACCACACACACACCCCACACCTCACACACACACACACCACACACACACACACACACACCACCACACACACACACACACACACACACACACACACACACACACACACACACACACACACACACACACACACACACACACACACACACACACACACACACACACACACACACACACACACACACACACACACACACACACACACACACACACACACACACACACACACACACACACACACACACACACACACACACACACACACACACACACACACACACACACACACACACACACACACACACACACACACACACACACACACACCAAGCGGGATGGAGGTCACTTCATAGCTGACCTGACATTTGAGCCAGTCTCTGTGGGGACAGGCTGACCATTAAGGCTCCATCCCTCAATAACTCGCACCACCCCTCCCCCCCAAACCTCACCCACTGAAGCTTGAGGTCCAGAGCTTTTAGCAGATTCTTTACAAAGTGCTTCCAAGAGATAAAGTCAGAGGAAATTCAAGACAGAAAGATAAATAATAAACATCTGGTGTCATTTGGTACGCGAGAACCAGGAATGAACTCGTCATGTATGCATTTATTCAAAGCTAGTGGCTACGAGAAGTATACCAGTGTATAATAAATCAAGTCATATTTTGAACTGCAATTTAAAAAATGTGTATCTGTTAGGCGTTGTATTATATCAGAACCAGATTGAACATTGGGAAGGCTGTTTTATTGTTGTTGCACTGTTGGAGGAGCCTGTGACCTAAGATTTCCATTGTCATAACTACACTGTAGCTGTACTGTACAATGACAATAAAAGCCTTGAATCTTGAAATCTGTATCCTTCTGCTGTCTGAGACCACTCAGAGATCAATAAAGTTTATTATATTTTCACTTTAAATGTAAATGGTACACAGTCATTATATAAAGAAACATATTACATAAAACAGATCATTTACTATAGGTATTTATAATGATGTGGTGGCTCTTAAGGTCCTCCAGACGCACGCATCATCTGGATCGCCTGGCATTTAATCATCAATCCCCCCCTTAAATGGCAAACCCCCTTCCTTATTGGTTTACATCTACACAGCTTATGGATGGGGCTATGAAACGTATAGCTACAGGCTAACCGTGTTAGCATTGCTGGGTACGACGGTTATAATACATTCCGGAAGCTTTAACTGTGTTAGCATCGTTATGCTACGTCGTTACGGGCGACTAAGACTGTAAGAGATGGACCTCCAAGCTAATAATGTTAGCAGTTATGTTGAGGCTTTTTGCGAAGAGACAAAGAGTCAAACATGCCGGTGTGTTGTTATTCTGCAGTCCTGTGGTGTGGAATAATCAGGAAAATAAATATGAACGCCCCCTTAAATCAAAACAACAACTCGGAGCGAAGTTGAAACACGAATTTCCGACTTCCTATGACGCAGAACCATGGCGGATGAAATGAAATACTGGGTTGATTGCAATACATTTTCTATTAATTCAAATAATGCGTGCCATTTTCTTCTCACTTGTGATGAATGTTTATTGTATAAGGTTGTAACTTATTGTTGTCCACAGACAGTGAGCTAAATTAATTATTTATTAGTATTTACTCTGATAAGAAATATTTTTAGGGAATGTACTGGTGCAGGGACAAGTCTGGGACAAAACCACTTATATAAAGCTTCAAAAATGGGCAGCATACTTGGATAGCATGTAAACAAAAAACTATAAACAGCTATAATGTTTTGTTAAATAATCTAGCATTAAAATATAACATCCTCTTTATAGAGTCTATGTTGTTTACGCATTATAACCTAAAAATCATGATTTAACTCGAGAAATACTTCCAAATATAGGAGATGGATGTATGTTGGATGTTGTGACTGAAGCACTGATACGGTGGTGAACTTTGACCGTAAGATGGTGATTAGCAAACACCATTAAGAGCTCAAATCAATCATGTTTTTGTAACACACATCAATATACATACAAAAAAGACTATAAATATCACCAGTGAGGAACTTTGACCTCCAGTTAGTGATTATTAGAACTCACTTTCTTAGACCGCCAGCATGCCTGTGCTTTTTCCACCTTAATTTTCTTAACAGTCTTTCTTAAAAATATACAACTTTTCTGTAGAAACTGTCGAAATGTAATGAAGACAAGATGTATTTTTCGTATACTGTATAGGGAAAGTTTCCATTCAATCAAGCATTCATTGAAGTTCAAGGATCCAAGTGTATTAGAATGCATTAAATAGTTATAAAACGATTATTAAGTGTTAGAAATATTGTAATTATTTCTAACACTTAATAATCGTTTTATAACTATTTAATGCATTCTAAGTGTTTATTAGTTACCATAAGTGATCTTATGACCTTCCTAGAGTATAGGAAGATATAATACAGTACAATGTGTCAAACTCGAGGCCCGGGGGCCAAATCAGGCCCGTGGTGGATTTAATTTCGGCCCGCAGGATAATTTCTAATTACTATTAGATCTGGCCCTCCGGTATATTGCACGCACACCTTCACTCCATCCTGAGGGTCTCCTCAGCTCAGAGCCTGACCCCAAACATTGATGACCTTGCACCCGAGATGAGATGCCAAGTATCTGAGCTAGCATCACAGAGCAGCACACTGAGTTCAATGGATGTTTCCTTCTGCACTTTCTCTCTCGACAACAGGACATGTTTGGTTTTCTCTTTGAGGGGAATAGTTTTTTTGAAGCTGTTGTTGGCCTGTGGGAAAATGTACTCATAAGAAATGACTCTGGAAAAGCTGCAGATAGAGCCATAAGAAATGAATGCAACTGATTATTTAATGTTTAATGTTGTTTTTATAGGCAATAATTTACGCTTTGTTAGTTCCAGGTTTAATATGTGCAATAGGTTCATTTCAATACGTTCTGCAATAAACATTAAACCAGTCCGGCCCTCGACTAGTACCCATTTTTTTTTTGGCCCACTGTGTATTTGAGTTTGACCCCCCTGCTCTAAGGGGTCATTATTTGCTTTAAGTAAAATGAAAAACATCTAATGAAGTCCATGCATATATTGCTCTTTTGTGTTTCAAAATGTTTGACTCACTCGCATATAATGGATGCTGCTAATTAGTATTATACAATGCTATAAGCAGAATATATTAAAGCATTACAAGCACGTTTATAATTCATTTAGACAATGGCATCATAGAAGGTGAACATAATTTTACCTTCGATAGAAAAATCAACCAAACATTAGTTTCAAATAAACTGATAATCAATAAATTAACTTGGTAGGTGACTGTGTGGGATGTTAGGATGGTTTGGTGGGAGGTATCATTTGGGGGGGTCATGGGGCCAAAGGTCACCAGTCAAATTCAAACCCCTGACTTTATGAATATGCGCGAACGTGCTCTTCCAACAACCAGCAACTTCCCCCCCCCCCAACACATAGCAGGTCTCAGGGGTTATGATGTCAAAGGTCAATGGTGTTTGCAGTGACAGGGGGGGGTGTGTGTGTGTGTGTGTGTGTGTGTGTGTGTGTGTGTGTGTGTGTGTGTGTGTGTGTGTGTGTGAACCTGACAGAACCACATTTGCACCTAGAAGCCATTATACATATTATTTGTCATGTACTAATTAAGATGGCCGTTGACAATCACTGCTGTAATTGGCTAGATTGACCATAGATTTACATTTCAACACCTCCTATCTGGTCTGTGAGCAGGAAGTGAGAAAGGTCCCAACTCGGGTCCATTTCTCACGGCGGACATCTTTGTTTAAAGGAAAGCCCCGACCCAAATGAACCAATAACTATTGACAAAGCATCCGCTGGCCATAATGAGCTGTTAGTTAGAGCAGTAAACATGTCACATTAACACGGAGAGGGTGATTAGAGCAGGAGGAAGGAGGGAGGGAGGAAGGAAGAAGGGAAGGAAGTGGAAAGGAATAAAGGAGGGAGGGAAGCAGAGAGTGTGAAATAGAGACAGATTGGCGATGTCTAAAGTTTACCAGGCCGAGGAGACCACTAACAGGCTTTCTACTTTCTTTCCTCCATCTGCCCTACACCCCTCCTTTCTCTCTCTCTTCCTCCGAGCTTAAATGAGAGGTGAAGGTAAATCAATGTTGGGGACTCGGTAAGTGGATGAGAGCCGGACTGGACTTGCTGCATGGAGAGAAAAATAAATCCTTTTTAAAATGGCCAAAACCAATTTAAAAAAAGGAAGAACAAGAGCCAGTGAGAGCGAGAAAGAACAGGAGAAAGCTTTGTCTAAAGATACAATTATAATGATTAAAGTAGTATTTCGTCAACAACCAGTGCATACATGAAGAACACCTGAGGTTGGCTACTGTACCGTTCTTGGCTAACTAGCATGCTAGCTGTGAGATTGCTAGCTGCAAAAGTGCACCAATAAGCACTTCATATATTCTCTTCATCACCTAGTCCCTATTTTTGGAGGACAAGCAAATTACGTTAGCTACAGTAAGCACAAATGGTGTTGGACACAAGCACTTACTACATTTGATTAGCCATTGTTAAGTCTTACTGTAAGCTTTCAGAAGTTTTAAATCAGTAAAAACGTATCCTGTGAA